TGTAAAATGACATAAGAACTTTATTATTCCTATACTACTACAATCATATATTCCAATAACCTTATCTGCTGTAATAATGCAGTCTTTGACACATTTCAAAGCATTTTAGATAATTAATTTGAAAAATGTTCTTCTCGTTTCTTAAAGGACCACTCTAGGCACCCAGACCACTTCAGAGAAACTGCTATGTTTATAAATGGGTTAAGCCTTCCCCCAAAGCGTCTAGCGGCTGTCTCATTGACAGCCGCTAAAGGCGCTTGCGTGCTTCTCACTGTGATTTTCACAGTGAGAGCACGCCAGCGTCCATAGGAAAGTATTGTGAATGCTTTCCTATGCGACTGGCTGAACTGAGGAACTGAGGAGGATCGGAGAAGGAGAGCTCCCCGCCCAGTGCTGGAAAAAGGTACGTTTTTACCCCCTTCCAGAGCCGGGTGGGAGGGGGTCCCTGAGGGTGAGGGCACCCTCAGGGCACTATAGTGCCAGGAAAACGAGAATGTTTTCCTGGCACTATAGTGGTCCTTTAAAGGGACACTATAGTCACCTGAACAACTTTAGCTTAATGAAGCAGTTTTGGTGTATAGAACATGCCCCTGCAGCCTCACTGCTCAATCCTCTGCCATTTAGGAGTTAAATCCCTTTGTTTATGAACCCTAGTCACACCTCCCTGCATGTGACTTGCACAGCCTTCCATAAACACTTCCTGTAAAGAGAGCCCTAATTAGGCTTTCTTTATTGCAAGTTCTGTTTAATTAAGATTTTCTTATCCCCTGCTACGTTAATAGCTTGCTAGACCCTGCAAGAGCCTCCGTATGTGATTAAAGTTCAATTTAGAGATTGAGATACAATTATTTAAGGTAAATTACATCTGTTTGAAAGTGAAACCAGTTTTTTTTCATGCAGGCTCTGTCAATCATAGCCAGGGGAGATGTGGCTAGGGCTGCATAAACAGAAACAAAGTGATTTAACAGTGAATTGAGCAGTGAAATTGCAGGGGAATGATCTATACACTAAAACTCCTTTATTTAGCTAAAGTAATTTAGGTGACTATAGTGTTCCTTTAACGTCAGTCATACACTAAATATGTAATTTAACTTTTTTGTGTCCTAAATAAAAAATGTTTTTATTTTGTGGTGTTGAGTTATTAATGCCACTCATTTGTTTAATTCTGCAGGTTTTTTTTAAAATATTGCTGCTTACTTGAGCTACTCTCCCTGGGCATCAACTTTGTTAACAATGTTGGTGTCATCTTTAAACAAACATACCTTTTCTTGGAGACATTACAAAAATTGTTGATGAATATATTAAATAGTTTAAAGTAATCAGTCAGATGGACATGCTTAGTACGGTTTCTCTCCACCAGTTAGTTTAGTCAAGCTAAATTCAATGTCAATGTAAATTCAAACTATCTTTTCATCAATTGACCATTGACTCATGAAAATGAGAACTTTAGAACTATTATTATTACTATATACCTGACACTTGACACTGGACTTCCAACATGGAGGTATGGCAAGGCCACATTATTAGGCTTGGGACCTTACATTACATTAGGCTAGGGACCTTACATTCAGAGATGGAAAGGTTTTAGATCAAATGATCCTTATTGTTAGAAGTGAACCTGGAGAAGTCAGTATAAGTCCTAGCAAGAGCTATTAAAATGACAATGTTATTCCATATCTTCTACCTCATCTGAATGGTTCTCCTTCCAATCGGACAGGAGGGTATTGCCATCCTGTAAACCAATATATGTATCTTCTCTATAAAGTACTTTCGTGGTGCTCCAAAATCTAGAATAGCCCAAATACTCCACAGTAGTATACATACTGTTTTGGTTTTCTAAGTGATTCCTGATGTAATAAGGCTTGGGCCATTAACCATTCCTATTTGAAGAATAAAGAGGGAGAGGGTCCAAACGGTTAACTTGCCTAAGGCCCCATGGGATCTTAATCCTTGCCACATTGCCATATATTCATCAGTGATTTTCTCGTGATGTATAATAAAGGGCTGAAATATAACTAGCAATATTCTCATTAATTAAATAACTTTAGGCCATTAGTTGGGAAAGGTGTCAACACTAATTCTAGACTCCCTTGACAAATTCAAGAAAATCTTTCATATTAGATTCCCATATTGGTTCTACTTCTCCCCAGAATTTGTGGGTGCATACTGGGGGCATTTGTTTGGTGGTGGTGAGGTGTTAAGCTAAGGACATATATGGTAGATACCCCTCGGTAATTGGTTGGCACAAGGATCCCCCCTGTTTCTTTCTTTCCTCTCCTTAGAAATGGATTTGCTTTCAAACAGATATTTTCCCCCTCATTTACACCTAGAAACTGTTTTTGCTCACTTTCTTAGGGGTCTGTATGCTTGTGTTGGAGCAGTGTTGAGGAATTGCACTCTGTCTCGCCCTTAACTCTCCGGCTTTTTTTTTTTCTCCTATCTTATCCATTTGCATAGTTAGCATGGTGGACAACATATATGCTTATATCATTGTAACTGAGAATGAGCATTGTGACGGACCGCTGGCACTCCGACTGAGTACCTCCGCCAATCGATGCTCCTAGTGCTCGCTGAGGACTCCAAGCACTCCAACCGACACCATCAGCACTGCAGACCCCACTTCCAGCGATGCAACTGCGCCGGGGTCTCTGCTGTCTCCACCCACCCTGGACCCAAAGCCAGGATCCAGCTTCCAGTGGGTGAACCTCTCTTTCCCCAGAGAGCAGGAACAGGAATAAGCTCTTAGCAGAACTTAGTGATCATACCCTGGGGAGTATAGTGATTATAGCAATCCCCAGAGTGTATTTCTCCAATCCCCCAAACATGAGCCAAGGCTTAATGCTGGAACAAGACTGATTTACTGGCACACAGAACTCACAATTTATGCAACACAAAACTCCTCCTCTGGGCCAGGCTAGATAATTGAGTTTCTACAATACACAAAGCTCAATTATCTGCTGGCCAGAAATAATACAGTTTTAACAGCATATTCATAACTTCTAAAATATACATTACATTCACATAAAAAATATATATTTACAATCAATCCATTCAGGGAAACAACATATCAAAAAATGGCATGAATCAGACCAGGGGTTAAGAAGTTAGTAAAATATCTTTTGGGGCCTGGCTGGCAGCATGGCTATCTGGCCCAAACTGGTTTTACAGAGCCCTCTAGCCTGGAGACAATGGGGAAAGTAATCCAATTATCCAGGGATAGAAGCAGACTCCATTGAGCACATGTTCCCAGTAAAACACAAAAGGATACAAAAATACATAACTCCTATCCCTCTGAATTGAACGGGCCAAATCTCCCAGGGTCCATAGTCACAGGGCAAGAGGCGGGCAAGCAGTCCTCTCCAGGCACAAGTGGCGATGGGCACTTCATCACACATCTTCCCTTTGGGGGGAAGACTAAACAGGTACCTGACCTTCTGCCGGTCAGTACCTAGATTAGTCGGGCAGCCCACTCACAAAGAAAAATACGCAGAGTAACCCCCCCACAATAAATGGTACTGGCCTGTAGGTTCAAGTTTGTAGTGGGACAGCGCAGCACTCTCAGTCTCCCTGGTGCAGCTAGGCAAACTGCTGGTGTTGCTTGGGGGGCAGAGGCCAGCGGCGCTCTGCCCTGCTGCCAGCTCTTCCACTGGGGTAACCCGTGGTAAGTCCGGCTCTGATACAGATGCCAGCTCTTCTGCTGGGAGGGGGTCAGTGGGTATCGAAGGCTCATCCATTGCCCCCAGGACCCGGTTGGGATGTAGCTGGGGAGTGGAAGTTTCGCTTACCTCCTCCTCCTGGCATCCCTGCGGGGTTGGTTGGGGATCTGGACCGCCCGTCCAGCCTCCCTGTAGGACTGGCACAGAGACCGCGGTCCCATCTGCACCAGTGTGATTAGGTTTGTCTTCCCCCTCTCCCGGTATCTCTGGCTGCTGTTGGAGGGGGAGGCTGGTTGCCCCCACTCCCCAGGACGCTGGTTGCTGTAAGGTGGAGGGATCGACCATCACCTCCTCCTGGAACTCAGGCTGCCACTGGGGAGAGAGACCAGTTGTCTCCTCTCCCTGTATATTATGCTGCCGCTGGGGACCTGGGCTGACTGCCCAGCATCCGTGTAGGGCTGGCAGAGAGACTTCGGTCCCATCTCCACTTGCCATCTCTGTGTGTCCCCAGGACAAGTCTATGAGGTCGCCCACCTCCGGCTGCTGTTGGAGAGGGAGGCTGATTGCCTCACCTCCCCAGGACGCTGGTTGCTGTACAGGGGAGGGATCTACCATCACCTCCTCCTGGAACTCAGGCTGCCGCTGGGGAGAGAGACCGGTTGTCTCTTCCCTCTGTACGGTGCACTGCCGCTGGGAAGGGAGGTCACTGCTCTCCTCTCCCTGTAACTCACTCTGTCGCTGGAGACGGGGTGTCAATACCCCCAAACTCCACAGTTGGTACTCGAAGTTCCGTGCGTCTTGGTTCTCAGCACTCAAGAGGCGCATCACTTGATGGACCACTTCATCTGAAGGGTTTGGGCCAAACCAGACCAGCCGCACCTTTACTTCCTTCATGAAATCAGCACCCTCACAGCACTGTGACAGGCGGATTTGCAATTCACTGGCTGCTGTCTAGGGTCTTGCTAGCTCCATGTTACTGTAGGTAGGGACACTGCGCAGAGGCTAGCGTTGCCCTCAATTATAATCCGTAACTCCACACGTAACCGGTGTCTCCGAGCTGCTGGTCCTCGCACTAGGACGCAATCCCACTGCTTGCCACCAATTGTGACGGACCGCTGGCACTCCGACTGAGTACCTCCGCCAATCGATGCTCCTAGTGCTCGCTGAGGACTCCAAGCACTCCAACCGACACCATCAGCACTGCAGACCCCACTTCCAGCGATGCAACTGCGCCGGGGTCTCTGCTGTCTCCACCCACCCTGGACCCAAAGCCAGGATCCAGCTTCCAGTGGGTGAACCTCTCTTTCCCCAGAGAGCAGGAACAGGAACAAGCTCTTAGCAGAACTTAGTGATCATACCCTGGGGAGTATAGTGATTATAGCAATCCCCAGAGTGTATTTCTCCAATCCCCCAAACATGAGCCAAGGCTTAATGCTGGAACAAGACTGATTTACTGGCACACAGAACTCACAATTTATGCAACACAAAACTCCTCCTCTGGGCCAGGCTAGATAATTGAGTTTCTACAATACACAAAGCTCAATTATCTGCTGGCCAGAAATAATACAGTTTTAACAGCATATTCATAACTTCTAAAATATACATTACATTCACATAAAAAATATATATTTACAATCAATCCATTCAGGGAAACAACATATCAAAAAATGGCATGAATCAGACCAGGGGTTAAGAAGTTAGTAAAATATATTTTGGGGCCTGGCTGGCAACATGACTATCTGGCCCAAACTGGTTTTACAGAGCCCTCTAGCCTGGAGACAATGGGGAAAGTAATCCAATTATCCAGGGATAGAAGCAGACTCCATTGAGCACATGTTCCCAGTAAAACACAAAAGGATACAAAAATACATAACTCCTATCCCTCTGAATTGAACGGGCCAAATCTCCCAGGGTCCATAGTCACAGGGCAAGAGGCGGGCAAGCAGTCCTCTCAAGGCACAAGTGGCGAAGGGCACTTCGTCACAAGCATTATAGTAAAAGTGTGAATCAGATGCTACTAATTAAAAGTAAAGTGTTGCTAAAATCACCAGGTTTTTGGTCAATCCGCACAACACAAAATACAGTGTACATAATAACACTGAACAGAATTATAAACACAACATTTTTGTTTTTGCCCCCATTTTTCATGAGCTGAACTCAAAGATCTAAGACTTTTTCTATGTACACAAAAGGCCTGTTTCTCTCAAATATTGTTCAGTAATCTGTCTAAATCTGTGTTAGTGAGCACTTCTCCTTTGCTGAGATTATCCATTCACCTCACAGGTGTGGCATATCAAGATGCTGATTAGACAGCATGATTATTATACGCTGTCTGCCATCTGCCCTGTATAGTGAAAACCGGGATTCATCCGTGAAGAGAACACCTCTCCAAAGTGCCAGATGCCATTTAATGTGAGCATTTACCCACTCAAGTCAGTTACGACGACGAACTGCAGTCAGGTCGAGACCTCGATGAGGACGACGAACATGCAGATGATCTTCCCTGGGACAGTTTCTGACAATTTGTGCAGGAATCCTTTGATTATGCAAACCAATTGTTGCAGCAGCTGTCCGGGTGGCTGGTCTCAGACGATCTTGGAGGTGAAGATGCTGAATGTGGAGGTCGTGGGCTGGTGTGGTTACACGTGGTCTACGGTTGTGAGGCCGGTTGGATGTACTGCCAAATTCTCTGAAACGCCTTTGGAGATGGCTTATGGTAGAGAAATGAATATTCAATTCACGGGCAACAGCTCTGGTGGACATTCCTGTAGTCAGCATGCCAATTGCACGCTCCCTCAAAACTTGTGACATCTGTGGCATTGTGCTGTGTGATAAAACTGCACATTTTAGAGGGGCCTTTTATTGTGGCTAGCCTAAGGCACACCTTTGCAATAATCATGCTGTCTAATCAGCATCTTAATATGCCACACCTGTGCGTTTATAATTTTGTTCAGTGTATAATAAAGCACAATATAGGTAAAAGCTGACAACAAAAGAATATATACAATGTCACCACCAATATTGCTTGTATGAAATACTAAAATACATACAAGAACAAATTATGGTGCAGTTTATCACATATTCAAATCTCAATTCATTCAAAGTGTATTAGTTCCACTCACATGTTGCTGAGCCACATATAGTTCAGACTATAATGGCTCCATATATGTAGTATGTTCTTAGTGATCTTCAAGCTACTCTCTCACTTCTTTGGGAGAGTACCCTTTCATGTATATTGTGATTTATTATAGTTGAGAATGAGCATTGCCTTTGATGTTTTCTGTGTTGCATTATGATCACTTTTCTGACTTTTCTCTTATGATATATTTTTTGTTTCTGAAAATGTCAATAATAAAAAAAAAATACTGAAAAAAAAGTTTGTTAAAACTCCAACATTAAAACAAGGATAAAGTAATTTGCCGATAAATATTTTCATAATTGTATTATGCTCTTACATTTTATAAAATGGTATATTCAGTTAACTTTTTTCATTAAAGTTATATTCTCTTTCCATTATGCATTATGTCATTTTTTTTAATATCACAAAAAGCTTACTTTCAAAAGAGCACAAAATAATACCATAAAAATAAAATGTAATATATTTTAAAAAAGGCATATACTATTAAAGTGAAAGCATTCATGGGTAACAAAGTGATTGTTTTAAACTTTACAACCTTCACTATTATAGGAATGAATGTCAGAAAATGTAAATGTATTTCCTTTCTGTTTAATTAAATGAAGAGTAGATGGGAACAACTTTATTTTTGAGCCAGTTACTTGAAAATAAAATCATATAACTAATGATTTTACTGCTCTATAAAAAAAGAGATCATGCTTTTGTATTTATATATTTATCTATACTTGAAAATTAAAACAGAAGCATGTAATTGTGACGAGACCAATCTCGCCACTGTGCATTGGAGGAGCCTGGTTGCCCGCCTGCTGCCTTTAGACTATGGCCTCATGTTGAAACGCTTGATTTTCCCCTGCAGAGACACGAAAGCCAGGTCATTCGGTACTTGCCCTATTTGAACAGTGATACCTCAGATAGCTATGCCATGGAGCCCATTCGTATAACGAAAGACTATGTGAAAAACTTTGGCTCCATGGCAATTGAACTGTATGAATGTACCTGTTTTATGCAATAGCTGCACAGTTATATATTTTTATGTATTTTATTGTCTTTTGCTACCATGTGTTCAATGGAGTTTTGCCTCTGTCCTTGGAGATAATTGGATTACTTCCCAATTATCACCAGGATAGAAGACTCTGTGGAACTGGTTTTGGGCAGAAAAGCCATGCTTTGATCTATTTATGTAAATGTGATGTATACTTTTAAACTTATGAATAATGTGGAAAAACTGTATTTCTCTGCCTGTGATAATTACATTAACCCAGTGTGTAAGGTAATTGTATCACAGGCAAAGGGGAGGATTTTGTATGGGATTGTCTGAGTGTATTGTACGTGTTTATAGGTTGTTTTACAAAATCCTGTGGGTGGTACTAATTTGTAAGAATGTGTATATAAGAACAATAAACCCACAGCTCTGGCTGTTCACTGCTTGACCCTCAACACGGAGCCTTGTCTCTTTACTGTATGCCGTTAGAGACTGATTGCAAGGAGTGTAAGCCGCTTGGGTGCTTTTCCTGTTCAGCTGCTAGCAGCTATTCGTGATGTTCCAGTTCGTGAGTTTGGAGTGCTACTTTGTATCCTGTTCGTAAGTTTGGGGTTCTGCGGTAGCTGTGCCTGTGTCTCTGAAAGGGGAAGATCTTCTAAACGGTGGTTTAACCCCTTTTATGCCTGGGGGTGCCCTTACAGTAATATTGACAATGTACAGAAGAAAACAAGGGACGGGGATATCTATAAACACACCCAAACACATGCATGCACACACGCAGACACACAATCTGTATCCTTGTTCATGAAAAAATGCCAGTGTGGTCTTAGTCCATGACTGTTGGACAAAAATAAAGGTCAAACACAAAAGACATACTATTATAAAATGGATTGCTGGTATGCCTATTAATTGCACATGGATACCAAAGGATGAATAAATATTTCCTAAATAATCACCAATATACTCCCTTCTCTGACCTTTTTTTTTTTTGTCAATCAGATTTTTATTGAGAGAGAATGAGATCACATGCTGAGATATAATAAAAATTTTTGAGAAATGAGTATATATACAGACATATTATTTGTACATGTTGGGTCTCTGCTTGTTTTTTGTTGTTCAGGTTAACATACTTAAATACATAGCTACACTTATTCTAGGTAATACAATAGGTAGTTTATGCTTGTCGTACCTAAGAAAGCCACCGGGGCTAGGCTTGGTGTCGGGAGGGTTCTCCAAACAAATGTGAGTACCCATAAAGAAATGAAATTTGAAACCTCTGAGATATTTGAGGCCTGAGTACCCCATCGCGTTAGGATGACAGTGCAGCCTATATAAAGAAAAAAATATATAAATATGTATATCGTTTTCTTTCTCCTCCCCCCCCCCGACATTCTCCACTTTTGTCATTGATGTCAAGGTAGTACAAGTTGAATTGTGCGACTTTGCAACTGTGTGTGGTTAACGATTCATCAATTTCATACACTGTTTTAAAGGTGCTGTGTTAAACATGTAATGTAGTCTAACAACCTCAGTTTTTATTATTATTAGGAGGTGTGCGGGCTTTATAACCCAGCATCTCGGTATCAAAGCCCTCATTATGAACATTCAACCATTGCATGCTGGGTACCCTGAGGGGCACCATTGAGGAGTGGGTGTGTATTTCGTGCATGGAGTGAACCCCATCATCGGCCTGTAGGACCATGGCCTTATCTCCCACCCCCCCCTGCCCAGGTACCCTTTGTTGCGTTGCGCCTTGCAGTGTGGGTACCAGAGATAGTACTGGCACTAGTCCCCTATCTAAGTGCTGGAAGCTGAGGTCTGTTATGTCAAGGGTGTTGGGTGTTATATGGGGCTGGGAAGGCTCATAGTTTGTGTGTAGGATATTGTCCCTTAGTCAGGGAAACCTATTTTCCTTTGACCCTATACCTAAGGTCAGTCCCCTACTGGTCTGAATTTGCGACCCCCCCGCGCGCCTTCTGTGACCTTTTTATTCTTTGTATGGGCACCTGAAATAACAGAAACCGGCTATATTTATACTCACCTGAAACAGTTTCAAATGCCTTTATGGAAAGAGAGTTACAGATACCATTGTCATCTCTTTATAGTGAGAGTTTGGTCAGACTCCTGGTCACTAACAGTATATCAGAACAGAATCCTTTGAAAGGGCTGAAGGTCTCTGGGAGAAAGTGGAGAGTTTAGGATAAGCAAAAATGGAATGTATACATCCATACTTAGTGTCATTTGTGATACTAAGAGAGCTGAAACGAATTAGAATTTTAAATAGCGTCATTAGAAAATTACTAATCAGCTATTAAATTGGTGATATATTATGGAGGGAAGTCAAGTGTATGTAGTACATAGTAGGCATGTGCATGGGAAAAAGTTTTGGTTCGCCATTCCGAAATTCGGGACTTCTGCACTTCGGAATTTCGGTAACATCGGCACTTCGGCACTTCGGCACTTCAACACTTCGGAACTTCGGCACTTCGACACTTCAGAACTTCGGAATTTCAGAACTTGCAGCCCCTGTGGCTGCTCACTGTTAAAATAAAATAAAATAAAAAAAGGGTCTCCCTCCCGAGCTGGGGGCCCTAAATTAGAATAAGGGGGGGACCTATTGACCCCCCCCCGTCCCCCACCCCTGAGCAGCGGGTGGGGGCCCTAAATTAGAATAGGGGGGACCTAATGTCCTCCCCCTGGCCCCCACCCCTGAGTGGTGGGTGGGGGCCCTAAATTAGCATGAGGGGGGGACCTAATGTGGATTAAGTAACCAATCAGAGAGTTATGAGTCAAATTACACAGCGTGGGAAAATTCCAAAGAACTTTCCCACACTGTGTAAAATGACACAGAGCCCTAAATTAG